CTCGAGAGTATTAAGCGATTTTCCGAGTAACGCGTAGGCACCTCAGAGGCAGATTACTCATTCAAGGTTTAACGAGGAAGCCATCGCCCATATTGCAGCCTAGCAAGTGTAATCGATGATTCACTTCCCCTCCCCCCCCTTTCCCCCTCCCGATTTGTGCACAGCCTATATCGCGTTACGTAAATATACCATATAAGCAACGAGAGTCGTGATCGTTTTCGCGAATTCTCCACTACTCCCTTACGACCATGATGCGATTTCGATTCTAACCTCGACGAGGGGGGGGGGGAGGGGGAAGAAGGGTAGTAAGCGAGCTTCTTATTTTCCTTTCTGCCGAATCGGTCGATCGAAATATGGAAAGGAAGATGGAAAGGAGGAGGAGGAAACTTTCGAGGTGAATTTGTGTAAATTTCGAATTTCGGGCGGAAATTTCTCGTTTTGCGTTTTTAAAAGAAAAGGGGATTACTTGTAACCATCCATGATTGTATTTTTGTCCTTTCTCACGAGACGGATCGAAATATTGAAATTTGTTTTGTACGGCGAATAAATAATGGAATTGTCATTGGTCGTTTTATATTGGGAAAAAAAAAAAAGGAAGGAAAAAGTTCGTTATTGCTTGTAACGTTGTTGTGTCTTGATGCTAAAAAAAAAAGAAACAAATTGCAATTAATCGTATGGAAGAAAAAAGCGAAATATCATCTCGTTTAAAATATTCCTCGCTATTATCCACGATCCAATATAACATTTTCATCGATTGTTCTGATTTATTTATCGTATTGTACGATTAGATTGTTTCATACCTTCGAAAGAAAAGAATCTTCCAAACGCGTGTGCAAAAATAAATCCTGTTCGAAACGACTCATTTCTAACTCATCTCGTTATTTTATTAAAATAAATATCCCCTCGTGCTTAATCCGTTCAGGGAGCTCAAAAAAAAAAAAAAAAAAAAAATCCTTTTTATTAATCCTCGTTAAACCGCGGCAAGAAAGAAGGAAAAACTATTTATTCACAATTTGTAACCAATGCATTTCCGAAGATGGAGCTCCCCTTCCTCTTATTCTTTTTCTTTTTTTTCTTTTTTTTTTTTTTCCTAAACTTTAAATTAAAATTGCAAATGGCAATAATAATAATAATAATAATAATAATAATAATAATAATAATTAAACCTCATTATCATGGATGTAAGTAAAAGCGTCCGCTTTATGCGTGGCCCGCGGCAACAAGTTTCGTAAGAAAGGAGGAAATGGCGCGAAATATTTTTCCAACAGAAAAATCTCTTTCCTCCTTCTCCTCCTCCTCCCCCCCCCCGAACGGAAACGAGTCGACGCGTGTGCGGGGGAGGGGAGGCGGCGAAGGGGAGGAGGAGGAGGAGGGTATGGCCACGGTGGGAAAATGACCGTGCCATACTCGAGAATTGCTTTGATATGAAGTAATGCGCACCGCAAAACACGCAAGACGTTATTACGTAATGTTTCAAGAGGTGTGTTGGTGACCGGGTATTGGTGGTATTATATTTATTAACGAGCGATCGTGGTTAACAGTTTCCTCTCTTGGAGGAGAGAGAGGGAGGGAGAGAGGGAGAGGGAAAAAATGAAACTATCAATAGTTCCCTTTTATCTAGATTTATTTATTTGTCAAGTTTTATTTTCATTTTGTCGAACGATTGTTCGTATTAATTAGATTATTTTCTTATCATTTTTTTTTTTTTTTGATATTATAACGATTGGATATTTAGATACATTTTTTTACTTAAGATGGAATTTTGGACCGATACCTCCGGATCTGGTGTCTTGGGTCTAATTTTAGTTTGAATTTTTTCGACGGGCGATCGTTTAACAATTTTTTCCGAGAGGAATTTTTAAAACTAATTGTAAAGATTGGAAATTAATGTGTCGTCTGTGAAAAGATGAATGGGAGGTTTTTCCATTATTCATTAATTTACCGTAATTCGATGATAAAAAAAAATGACGAAGCAAGTAGAAAACATTTTGAAAATGATGATGGCTCATACATATATAAACATCTCGGCATGTTTCCCGGTATTGCCATGAAATCACTTCTAAATTTTTCTTTCGAAATCTTTTGCTTATTTTTTTTTTTTTCTTATGTAAGAAAGATTATTCGTGTCTGGAAAAAAAAATGGACAATAGACAATTTGTATAAAACTCGAAGAAATTTGTGCCCCTTTATTCGTTCTTTATTTTATTTAAAAAAGAACCTGCAATTTTAAATTCGATCGAAAGTTAATAAGTTAAAAAAAATTAAAAATATTCCACGCGAGGATATTTCATTTTATTTCGTGGATAAATAAAATTGGATAAATTCTAACGCGGAATAGACGAGAGGTTAACGTGTGCGACAAGTATGACAGGCATATTTATGATTACGTTTAGGAGCACGGGTGTGTCTGCCGCGAGTTTCTTGAGAAGGGAGGTCAGTAGTTTAGCACGTCTGTGCAACAAAGGCGAGCCACACACGGTAGTAAACTACTGCCTAGTTCCTGCTTTCTCTCCTCTGCACTTGGTCGTTAATGAAACGGGTCTTGAAAAGTGGCCGACGACGAGATTGATCTCGTTGACGAAAAAGTCAGTTTAACGAGAAAATTCGTCCCAGAATGAGGAATCGTTCGTTTCTCAGATTATGTAATCAGTCAACGTATCGTAATTACGGAAGAACTGAAATAACATTAATTACTCGGGCTATTAGTAACAACGAGAAGGTTATCGGGAGAACAATTTCCTCGAAGAAGAAGAAGAAGAAGAAGAAGAATTTTGATATTGAAATATAAATATAAAATTCTTTCCTTTTTCCTCTTACAAGTCTAATTTTGGAGAAGATATATTACGCTATATCCTGTTCTTTATTTAACTTGAAAAAAAAAAAGCTTCGTTCTTGTAAGTACAATTTTATGATTTTTAAACGACAAATAATAATGATGCAAGGAATCGAGTTATATTGAAAATCAATTGAATCAATTTATAAAAAGAACGACATTTAGATACGCGATTCCAGGAAAGTTGTTGAATTAAAAATACAAGATTGTTTGAAGAAAAACGCATCGTGAAATACCGATTTACGATAAATACGATAAAACGATTTTATATGAACTTGGAATTTCCCGTATAAATTTATACTACTACTACTACTAGATTTTAACATTTATATTTAAATGCAAAAATCTGTAAAAATTCTGAAATACGATTTAAAATTCAAATTCTAAATATATAAATATTAAGATAATCTTTATTATTAAAATGTCATTAAATGTTACCATAAATCGATTCATAATACCAGTAAAAAGCATATCTGAATCAAGTGACGACATTGCTATATTAGTATACGGTTAATATTATCCGTATATCGTTACATCAACCTCGCAGACCGTAACAATTGATGCATATATATATACCATTATTAAAACTCTAATTTAAGACTTATCAAACGTTCAATTCATCTCAAGTTCGTCCACCCATTGACTCACGATGACCACGTTCATCACCAGCGCCACTGGTGCAGATCAGAGAATCGATTATCGATTCGCGTCTCGAAGGATTTACCAACCGAGCCGATTTCAGTTAGAATGCATATTAACGCATTGTGCGTCACGGTCAAATCGAATGGGTGAAAGAACTGCGACAATCGTGTCGCAATACTCGCCATGTGCCTCGTAGACGATGATATAACGTCGTGTCGCCTCTTATCATCTATGCATGCACGAAAACACGCGCGATATCGTGTTTTTGTTCTCCTCCTCGCGTGTCTGTGTTCTCTCTCGTACGATCGGCGTGAACTATTCGTTACGCATGCACTCTGCATCATGGTCGGTCAACCTAGCTTAACCTTCTATTACGTATGACACGTATACACGCTTGCGCGCGCATGTAAGAAACGAAACACGGATACGACATGTACTCGTATTGCGACCGATACATATTTTGTGGTTATGTAGACGGCGTGCAGATGTGCTTAGTGATATAACAAGGTTTCGCGTACGCTTGTACGTGTATATTTGTAGTGAATTGTATATATATATATATATATATATATATATATATATATATATATATATGTGTGTGTTATATATATATATATTATTATCTACATGTTATCTTGCCATTGGTATTATTATTATATGGCAATGTATCACCGATAAATTTGCATTTTTTTTGTCTCATGTGTCAGATGATTAATATAGCGTGTATGTGGCTGTGTATATGTCAACAAGTTTATGTAGATTTTATATTAATCATTATATATTCAATGCTTCACAATGAATATTAGCTACAAAAGACAATCATTGTAATAAATTTTGCGTCTCGATTTTCTCGAAGAAAAGAAAATAACGTTTCGATTTGAAAACAGCTTTACGAAAATTATTAAGATTTGTTTATCATTCAACGCGATATGATATTATTCAGTTTCGTCCGAAACTTAATTAAGATGTAAATTTATTAATTAATTATTACTTAAGATTGTTTTATCATCGTATAATACGCTATTCAAGCCATTATACACAGTGTAACGCAATTGCAATCTCGTTTTTAATCGTTTAGATTAGATCAATTGCATCGACTGGCATTCGAGTTACAATGAGGCATGCGAAAATCAATATAAATCGATAACTGAAAATCGATTTACCCGATACGATAAACGACTATGTAATCGATTTCGCGTATATTTTTTAATAAATGCATATACATTTCTTTTTTTTTTATTAATTTATAATTCGTACGAAAATACGTTTTATGTGTTTCGCTTAATGGCAAATATGAATTAATTTCAAACGATTTTCAACGTTCGAGATATGCCGAGAAATGCTGTTCGTACAAAATGCTGCATATTCGTGAAAAATGAGATGTCTGGTGGTGGGGTTGGATCGCGTTAAACCCGCGAACTCGCAAATGAAAATGATGAAAAGTATGAATTATGGTTGATTATTGACGCTTGAAAACATATCGGTTCAATTAACGAACGTATTTGTTCTTATGTAACGATACATTGTTTGCTTTTGCATTTAACGAGGTATAATATACAATCGAATGAATATGAAACGCGTTGAAATTTCGTTTACGTCTTATATATATATATATATGTGTGTGTGTATAATATATATATTATTATCTACATGTTATCTTGCCATTGGTATTATTATTATATGGCAATGTATCACCGATAAATTTGCATTTTTTTTGTCTCATGTGTCAGATGATTAATATAGCGTGTATGTGGCTGTGTATATGTCAACAAGTTTATGTAGATTTTATATTAATCATTATATATTCAATGCTTCACAATGAATATTAGCTACAAAAGACAATCATTGTAATAAATTTTGCGTCTCGATTTTCTCGAAGAAAAGAAAATAACGTTTCGATTTGAAAACAGCTTTACGAAAATTATTAAGATTTGTTTATCATTCAACGCGATATGATATTATTCAGTTTCGTCCGAAACTTAATTAAGATGTAAATTTATTAATTAATTATTACTTAAGATTGTTTTATCATCGTATAATACGCTATTCAAGCCATTATACACAGTGTAACGCAATTGCAATCTCGTTTTTAATCGTTTAGATTAGATCAATTGCATCGACTGGCATTCGAGTTACAATGAGGCATGCGAAAATCAATATAAATCGATAACTGAAAATCGATTTACCCGATACGATAAACGACTATGTAATCGATTTCGCGTATATTTTTTAATAAATGCATATACATTTCTTTTTTTTTTATTAATTTATAATTCGTACGAAAATACGTTTTATGTGTTTCGCTTAATGGCAAATATGAATTAATTTCAAACGATTTTCAACGTTCGAGATATGCCGAGAAATGCTGTTCGTACAAAATGCTGCATATTCGTGAAAAATGAGATGTCTGGTGGTGGGGTTGGATCGCGTTAAACCCGCGAACTCGCAAATGAAAATGATGAAAAGTATGAATTATGGTTGATTATTGACGCTTGAAAACATATCGGTTCAATTAACGAACGTATTTGTTCTTATGTAACGATACATTGTTTGCTTTTGCATTTAACGAGGTATAATATACAATCGAATGAATATGAAACGCGTTGAAATTTCGTTTACGTCTTATCAATTACATTATCCCGCTACTGATAGTCAACTAATCGATGCATTTACATGTCCTACTTACGGATCTATCGTAGACGCCTATTTGCAGAGTTGATGGAAATTTACATGCAAAACTAATCAAATCGAGCTATTGCAATGTATATATATATATATATATATGTATATGTATATGTATATATCGAACACAACTTCATTAAAATTGAAAAGAAAAAAAATTCTTTTTTAAATCAGTCAAATTTGTACACAAGTTATTATTGACGTTTGCAAATGATCGCGCTCGATGATTATTTCACTCGAGAACGGTATAAAAATCGCTGATTACCACGCGTATAAAGTGTTACCATCACATAGCATTTTCACACGTGATAATACACAGATTCCGGATAAAAAGGACACACTTAAACAGACGGACACTCACCTTTAATCTATTAGCGTACGATCATTATGACATCTGCACTTCATAATTGATGTTGACACTTGATTTTCCGAATAAAAAAATCAGTTGCGGAAAAACGAAGTTTAGAACACGCGCAAGCACTATACGCGAACAGCGAACACTAACGTAGTCTCGCAGATTGCCGCCTGGCCGGCAGAGCGCGAGAATTTCGGAATGCTTTAAAAAATTGTGCTCCTTGAGATGGCGACACCTTCTAACAGAAATCAAAATCTCGAATTGGATAAATCGCGAATCGATATATTGCTCGAAAGGAATCGAAAGTGGGATTAGTTGTATCGTTTCTCTCACTAGAGCGCGCTAGAAATATTTTAAATTTGAGCCAATCATATTGTCCGATTTCGATTCAGTTGATTGATTATTAGTTTAAATTCGAACTTCGTGATGGAATAAAGACGTATTGATTGCGTGCTCGACTTTTTTTACAAATACGGAAAATATGTCAAATTATTGTGAAAATTTCGATTGAATTGTGTTAGAAATCATATTGGGAAAGTTTTAGAAATAAAATTCAACGTAATTATGTATAATTATTAATATGTAATACAATTTAAGTGATTAAGTGTGACATCGTTTTTTGTGAAGTATTTATACATGTTTTAAATTAGACAATAGCGAATGTGATCAAGTTTAAAAGATCAAGATAAACTAACAAACAAACAAAAAATGCTTCTAGAAAGAAAGAAGAAAGAAAATCTTGTAACTACTAATTCTAATAATTTTGAGGTATGTGTAATTCTTTAAATTTTCTTACATTATTGAATAGAATTTAAAAATCAAATCAAAATAATATATATTTTAGTCATTTTTTTATTACAATCTTACATCATTAACATACTCCATTTATGTACATCAAAATTTGTCAATTTTAGTCATTTTTTTTATTACGATCTCACAACATTAATATACTCCATTTATGTATATCAAAATTTGTATTTATAAAATTTACAATTAACTTATTTATTTTATGCTTGTAATACGGGTCTTTCGTGTTTACCTTCTAAGCTATCATTAACAGCTGAATATCCAGTACCACCCTAAAAACAATTCAATTTTATTATTATATTATTCTATTCTCATTACATCTTACTGTTATTCTTAAAAATTATACCCTCTGAAGTGGTATAATATCTGCTTCTGTTAATTTTGTGCTATCTAATGGATTAATCCAATCCTTCTTTATAATTTTTTCTACGCATTCCATTGTAATCACGTCACCACTAGAAAAATCAAAATTTAATTATTAATTCATTTAATAATTAAATTATATAAAAAATAATGAACTAATAATTATTAGAGAATGAAAAAAATTGTACGTTGTTTTTATAACTGCACATGGTACACTGTTACTTAAAATATCATGCGTAATTGGACACATGTATCTTGCTTGTTTAACAATAAGAGATTTCTTGTCATCTGGATCTTTTACTTCAGTAAATTTCACAGAAATTAAATCCTTTATTTTCAATGGTTTTCCACTAACAGGGCAATAGATTGTTTTATCTGGTTTCTGTACCATAGTTTCTTTTGCTTCTGGTGTTTTAGATGGAATCCAAAAACTTGGAAGCATCTTATCTTTACCGTTGCTCATATTAGAAACTGAAGAAGTAGGTTCTTTGGTTACGGTTTGACTTCTAGAGACAATATTTTTCTCTCCTTTCAAAAAATTTTGCAATTTCTGTAATTCTTCGTTAGCACTTTTTTCATTAGATTGTTCCTAAAAATTGTTGTAAAAATTAATTATAAGATATTAGAGAAAATTTTCTTCCATATTTTATTTACTTCTTCTTGTTGTTTTTGTTTTTCATACTCTTTCAATTTTCTTGCATACTCTTTCTTTTTGGTTAAAACATATTCCAATATTGCTTCTTTGTCAAATAAGTAGCCATCTTTCCTGTAATAATATAATAAATTTGAAATATAATTCGAGAATAATGAGTACTAATATGACAATTAATACAAAATATACAAACGTAATCACAGGGTTTCTACAAGGTTGTAACGTCAAACAACAACAATCGAAATCTTTAACGGAATCTTTTCCTACTCTTTGCGTATTTGTACCATAACCCGAAGCTGCTGCATCTTTCTTTTTTTCATGATATGTATAAACAGCTCCAGCTGTGCAATTTCTCGCGTGTCGCGTCATTATTTTTTTTTTTATTTTATTAAATGTAAATAAGGTTTAACACGTATCCATTCCGTGTTTATGAGTTTGTGAAGTGAAACAATAAACTGAAATTTGATTGGAGGGGGAAAACGTTGTTTGGCAATACAATACGATGATACAACGCCATCTATCTATTATTTCTTAGAATTAGTACATTGTACTATCGGATAGATGGCGATGTTAAATTTTTTCCAACAACCCCATTTTAATCTAATTTTATTATTATCCTTGATACTTTTATTTTCAATGTTGTATGAATATATATTTAATAATATGAATTGGAATACATACAATTAAACATAGTATGTTTACTTTTTTATTTGTTTATTTCATAAAATATAGTTTTTATATAAAAAACAATTACAAAATTTTCTTACTATTTTATAAATGAAATGAATTATTATTCGATACAATTATTTATTTGCATAAAAATAAATAATTTTATACACATTTATTTACAAACAGTATAATACTATGTACATTGTATTTATAATTTGAATAAAATATATATACATTCGGTTTGATGTATATCGATAAATGAAAAGAAATTATCTTTTTTTGTCATCGCTATCACTCTCTGATAAATTATCCTTTCTATGTTTCTTTTGTTTTTTATGTTTTGATTGTTTCCTTTTCTTCTTTTTATGTTTATGTTTCCTTTCTTCATCACTAGAAAGTTCTGTTTCTGATTCACTTTCACTTGGTGTTAATCTTTTACGTTTCTTAGATTTTTTTTTATCTTTCTTTTCTTTGTGTTTCTTCTTAGCTTCCTGTAGCTTCTTTTTCAATTCTTTTTCACGTAATTCAGTCAAAGGGGTCACATAATTTTCATCGCTATCAGAACTAGTACTGCTAACATCCAAAACAATCTCTTTGTTTGGATCAACTTTAATAAAGTTGCGACATTGGTATGTAAGATGTCCAGCATATCCACATTTCTTACATGCTGGACGTACATGTTCTTTGTTTTGAGGTATTAATCTAGAAAGAAATTCTGGATCCATGCCTAAAAGAATAAATATACAAATTTATTAATATTGGTTTTATAGAATTTTAGGAAACATATATATAAATATACATTTCTTTAAGTAAAACAACTTGAAAAAGAACTATAATAATATAAATATGTATAAAAAGAAAGAAAAAAATATTAACTTAATATTTAAATGCAATACTAACCTAAGTAATAGGTAACCTCTTATGTACAACTATTATGCACAATTAAAAGTTTTCAGTCTTATTTATTATTATTTTTTTTTAATAACGATATATAAAACTGTGTAATTATGTAATAGTCATGTCATGACTTGTTACACAGTAAATAAATAAAATTAAATATCAGTTATCGTTATTATACAAACAATTCGAACTAGTATTCGAACGCCATATTTATGAACGCCATATTGGTACACGTCATCTATAAATCGCTTTGTCTAACATTAAATATTGGCGGGATATTCAAATACGATGCATAATTTCTTCTATTTTTAGCAATATTAATTTAATGTTGCTTCCTTTAGTTACAATAATAAAAATAGATTTAATAAGATGTAAATATATATTAATAAGATGTGTATATATATATATATATATATACATAAATAATTTCTAAAATAATTTATAAATTGTAGATCATTAAATTCAAGCAATACTTACAAAATCAATATAAATATATTTCTGTTTCTATACTTTTATTTCTAACGTTATAACTATATTAATATATAAATGTTTAGAGAATAGAAAGTATAAATAAAAAAGGATAAAAATCTTTATTATCTACAAATAGCGTAAGATTGAATCGATATATTTAAAAAAAAATCTTTTTATTACAACATTATAAAATCTACATTTACATAGTTCATAATAAAGTACATTCATGAAATGAAGCCACGATTTTTTTTTCTTTTTAATTTTTAATAGTGTCCGGAGTTGGCGTCTAAGTTGACGCTTGCAAAAAAATACATCAATGCGAAATACATTCAATACAAAATAAACGTATTTATATCGTGTATATTAACATACTATTCTAACTAAAAAAAAATCTGCATTGCTTTGATTATATAATTATATAAATTAAACGAGACTCATAACATTCATCTACTCGACTAAACTAACACAATACACCGATCCTTTCTACGCTACATTTTTTTTTTTCTTTTTGTTTATCAATCTAATTAATTCTTTTTCTTAATCGATGATTAAATAATTTGGTATGCTTCGTCATGCATACGATATAATGGACATTTATTTAAATACAACATCGATTTCATTTCTTTTTCTTTTTTTCTTTTGATTAATTTTAGTTTACTTATTAATTATTTCATGCTACACATAGTTCTCAGAGTTTGATCATCGAACGTAAACGAAACCACGTGATTACAATCTAGGGAAATTCACAATCTTGAATTTTAAAATAAAAAATTACTACCTATTCTGCATATTAATTCATGCACATAATTATTCGTGGATGTAAACATAAATTACTTGTGAAAATTAAACATTCACAAATAATTTATTTTCATCAGCAAAATAAACAAAATATCAACTTATTTTGTGCAACGATACGGTTAATCATGAGTAATTAAAATCATAGTCTGTCACGTGATTTATTTACTTCCGCTAACTCTTAACTCGAACAATGTATAGAATATCATTACACGAGTACGTGAAACGAAATTTGATCTATACGGAATATAGATATAGATTTCGTTTCTAACATTTCGATCAAGATTAATATAATACACGAAGAAAACGAGAAATTTTATTGTGAGTTTATGGTCCTCAGAGTTTCAGACACAGTGGTTTTTCGACAATCTCGTTCGAAAAGTTATGAACTTACCCAAACAGTCATTGCCCATTAGAAATAATTGCAATTTGTTAAGATTTTATTATAACCTTATCGAATTAAAGGGATGTTCTCTTTTATTTGTCAATACTTGTATTATTGATAATACAATAAATATTCTAACGTAGTTACGATAAGTTTCAACCATATCAAATTGCAATCTTCGTCTTTTTTTCGCATCGACTATCCGAGTATCGCGAAATAATTAGTTTCATAAATTTTTCTTCGAGATGTCAAGTACTTATTATTTATAGTTAGAAATGTTATAAATTCACATATAAATGCACTATGTGCAATATATGCAAATAATTCGAAATATTCGCGACATAATTATTGTAATAGCTCGCAATAACGAAAAATTATTAAACAAGATTATAATCGTAGAAATACATGATGTGTATAACGTCGATATGCCGTAGTATCTTGATAAAAATTTTATATTCAATGCTATTATTCTTAAATAATTTTTGGATCGTTATATATTAGAAACTTTAATTTTTTTTTTTTTTTTTTTAAACGAAACTTGTGATAACGAATGAGTTATTCAAGCAATTGAATATTTATAATGCTTATGTTCGCATAATTAAATCTTTGAAAATGCAAAACACGTAGGAATACGTCTATTTCTCTATAATAAATAAGTAATAAAAAATAATATTACGAGTTCAAAATTAACGATTCTATAAATAATTAACTATTCGTTCATGCACTACATGAGTATCCAAAATTTCAAAGGAATTATATTTTTCGAAAATAGAAGCAGCAACAATTAAAATATTACTTTCATATGAAAAACAAAAAAATTTTTCAACCTAGTAATTGGAAAACGTTGCAAATATTATCTTTGTTCTCTACAACATCGGTATACTGCTTCTTATTTCATTAACTATACTATACTCTACTTTTCATCTACTACTAATCTACGCAAAAGACAATAGTTGTTGATTTCAAACGTAATTAACAGATTTTACACTCGATGGTATATATTATGTATATCACGTAGCACCATTCATATAATCATATGAATCGCAGTGGCATTTACTATATTATATACCACTCATTTTTGGGGGATAGTTCAAAGAATAGGATAATTTTTGCTTGGTAGAAAATCCTTTGCGTTTATTTGTACTAATCTTTCCGCTGATCTCAGAAATAAACTGTGTTTTGTTAACAATTACGAAAGTAATTTTTAATTAATCCGAAATAAATATCCTTTGCTCAGTAGAGCAGCATATTCGAGTTCATTGTACATTTGTTCGGGAGAATTCGGACGGAATCGGAAAAATTCGGGTAAGATCGGACTCTATACTTTCCAGATCTTGTACGATTCCACCCGAATTCTTTCGATTCGTGTCGAAGTTAGGATCCTTACGTGATATTATCTATATAATTCAAATTTATTCAAATGTTACGTTTGATATCATTTTCATTGGGAAAATTTCAGCAATTTGAATAAAGTAATTTTATTTTTATATTTTTTCATATTACTTATTATATAATATTCATGTAGTAGTAATAGTAACTGAGAACTATTGTCTCCAATTCTTTATAAGCGAGTCAATGAATGTATTATTAAATAGAAAAGAGAAACAAAATTATGGAATTTCACGTGTAACAAATTCGAATATATTTTTCTTTTCTTTTAACAATAAAATCATCCTGCAAATCGCACGTATTGTATAACATTTGTACAAGTTACTTTTGCGTGGATTACATTCTCGATAATATATAAGTTGTTTTATTACAAAATAAGAAGTTGCTTCTCTAAAAGTATATCTTTGGACGGACACTGCATAAACTGTAGGTGCGTTTCAGACGAAAATGCAATTATACTCAGAAGAACATAGAATATATCGAAGATATGCTCACAATTTTTTTTTTTTTTACGACAAGCGATATGAATACGCATGCAGTGCCTGTCGTTTCTTTTTTTTCTTCTTCTTCTTCTTCTTCTTCTCTCTCGTTTTAAATGCGCTTTAACGTGTTTTATAATATTCAATGTTAACTGATGTTTAGCCGTGCCGTGCGTTTACTTGCATTCTCGCATACAATTCATACGCGTAAAAAGACCACATGTATACACATCGTATAGTAGTATGGTTAATATGGTGTCCTTAATTTTCTTTTATATTAAATAACGTTATTAAATGCAAAGAAACGTGTATAAATAAAGGGAAATTAATCAACATAGTAGTTAATAATAGTATAAGAAATAGAGAAATGTTTTGTTGTAACAAAATTATATTAATATCATTAGATATTCGAGATTGGAACAAAGTTGAATAACTTGTCGAATTGAGGTAAGAGATTACAAGACTGGCTCGTATCTTGTGTTTGCTTAAAGTAATGAAATATATTATAATTCATCGTTTCAGGCGAGATATATCTTATATGTATATATATATATATTAACGAATTCGTTAAAGAGTTGGAATTTTTTCCTTCGATACAAAGTGACATAAGTTTTCACGACCGTTACACGTTTTTTAATCGAAAATTTACTTTTCTCGGTTCAACTCCATCCGATATTATAAAGTTAAATACGTATTCTATCCCCGAAACAAACCTATTCATCGATGTATATTTGTACCGATTATTATGCCTCCTATTTTTTTTTCTTTTTTTCAATTCTAAAAACAATTCTCCAAATTCGCTTCTTTCCTCAGTCGTTTCCTTTTTCGTTATTTAACGTTTCCAAAAAAATTTCCAAATGAATGTGATTCATAGCGTTTCTTTTTCCCTTCATATCGAGAAAAGAAAAGAAAAACAGAGAGAAAAGTATGAAAATAAGGTTAAGAAGCACAGTAACCGGTAGAAATATCCTGTTATTAGACGAAATTCCTTTTATCTCGCGGTGGCAATTTTTTCAATGTATCCTTTTTTACGAAGTTTGTACGAGGAGGAAGTGGTAAAACGAGACGACGAGGACGACGACGGACCAGCATCGAAGCCCCGGGTCGTTGCAACGGTCGCGGAATACAAAAAAAAAAAGGGTGTATAATAAAAAAAGTAGGCGGGGAGGGGGAAAGTAGTTACAACAAACTTTTTCCTGGTCCCATTTCTCAAACGTGTTATCATCATCGGCTATTCCTTATTCCACCTCCCCCCTCCTTTCGATATTCTCGACATCCGATTTAGATGGCGGACGCTTCCGATGAAGTTGCCGTAGCCGACGTTTTGTACTCGAATCCGATCCGATTTTTCACAAGTTTCGGCGAAAACTTTCCGTCGCCGTTTCAACGTCAGTTTCCAATTTTGCATAGAATCTCTGTGTATCGGAATTTTCCGCCATGTCCTCCCACGAAACGCATTCCATTTCCTTCGAATTGTCAAGCTTTCTTCGATCTTCCCGGTCGATTTTAATTTTTATCATTTCTCGGGATATTCGTTCGTTTGAATTTTCCATTTCGAGAGGAGAGAATTTTTCCCGTTCGATTTTTCAGAAAAAATTGTGTTTATCTGTTCCGAAAGATGTGTTCCGTTCGCGGATTGTCAAAAATCGTTCTAAGATCACGCCACTTTCAATCGTACATTAAATATTGTTTAAAAACATATAATTTGAAATTCATCATCGGAAATGGGGAGTAGAGT